TAATAAAATATAAATATTATAAAACATATATTTATAAAAAACTGTAAAGTGAACAGCAAAAAGGTGGCCACTTCCAACATCAAAATACTACAACTACTACTAATAATAATAATTAAGTACAATATACAAATGTACACTATCAAGTTCATAGCAACCACATATTAAAATGCAATGCTGTGCTCTCGATTTTAAAGCACGATCTCATTTGATTTGCCTTTGCAGGAGGAGGAGAACCTCATCAAACAGGAGCTGTCTGCCATGAAAGAGCAGGTTTCATCTCCCAACACCACCATGGTGAGCGATACAGACATCACAGTCACTCAGAACTTCAGAAGCTGGTTATTTGACCTCAGTGTGTGTATTACAGAAGCAGATGAGAGAGATCATGGTGCGAGCCATGTACTGTGAGATGCTGGGCTACGACGCCTCCTTCACCTACATTCACGCCATCAAACTGGCCCAGCAGGGCGGCGTGCTGGAGAAGAGAGTGGGTACGTTTACACCGCATTTCCACTCCTCACCATATATCACTTCAATAACACATGCGCAGTACACTTTATACAGGCTCCAAAATCAGTCTCAATAATAAATGTACAAATTATAAATAAAATGCATTTAATAATACAAATATTGTATGTGTAATACATTATAACAATCATTATTTTCATTCATTTTGCCATTAATTGTAATGTAATTGTAAACTGAGACAGACTCAATCCAGAAGAACTGATGCTTCAAGAGACCTACCTGCAAAGCCCCGCAAAAGCTGCTTTAAACGCAAAGGATAGTCACACCAAATGTTGATTTAATTTAGTTAATAGAAGTTAATTGATAAAGAAAATCTGGCATTATTTTTGACTGCATCCTCATTTTACAGCATTTTTACCTAAAACTCTTTAACAGTGCTGTAGCTTTGCAGGTAGGTTTCTTTTAGCATCTTGGAGACGTTGCCACAGTTCTTCTGGATTGAGTCTGTCTCAGTTTGTTCTGTTTCTTCATGTCAGGCAAAATGATTGAGTTTGGAAATGTAAACTGATATTTCCTACTGACACACTACAGCAAAAGATAGAAATAACTGACTTAAAACCATTTTTAGCTGCTGAAAATACTAGTGTTCTAATCATTTTGGCCACCACTGTA